AGAAAATGCAAAGTCTACGTTTTGGGAAAGACCCTTGTCGCTCTGAAGACGCAAACGAACTGAACTGTTTTTCCTGCACATTAGACGTCGAGGTGGTCCGCGCGTCCGCGAGTCATGGGGCCCTGGTTGTAAAGACATAAACCAGGTCCCCATTGACCTGAAGTCCTCGACGTCGCGAAGGAGTGGAAAATATACGAAAAATCTTCGCTTTCCGCATCTGGCGTGTGTCACTACACCCTGTACACCACAATTCTATAAATTTTAATATAATATTCGTAGCTTGAAAGGGAAACCAAAATAATTTTGAAGAGGAAAGAAGAAGATTACATCACGGCTGCCAATCCTCTGGGATTCTCCGTAAAAGTCGAAGATATTGGATATCTACCTACAGATCGAGAACCTAGCATGTGTACCCCTAATAATTCAATTGAGAATTAATTTTTCAAATTTAAATGAGGTGCCCTGTATACCACAATTCTATAAATTTTAATATAATATTCGTAGCTCAAAACGAAATAATTTTGAGGACAAAAGGAGAAATCTACAACATAATTGCTGCCAATCTTTTGCAAAAGTAAAACATTTTACAGCGCAGGGGGCACGAAGGGATGAGTCAGAAACGAGGGAACTAGGTCGATTTACGCGGTTTTTCCTATTCGTATTCAGACGAAAGCCGAACAGGCGATCGTGCGAATTCATTTAATTAAAGTAAAGCTCCTGGACAGAATGGCCGCCGAACGAATAGGGGAACGCGAAATGTTTGTTAAGTCTCCACGCACGTGTCTGTAGACCGGTATCATGAATATTCAAGATGGTCGGGACGAGAATTATTAATATCGCGAGCAAACAGAAAATGTCGGGCTCTTCCGCAGCTCTTGCCGTTTGTTAATTTTATAGGGTGTACCTGGCGGGCTGAATCCGGCTGAACAGTGAGTAATGGAAGCCGAAATTCGACCAAACCTTGTTTAAGGAAACAAGCGAATCCCAGCCACACTGCTAATTTCTGAACACGTCGACCTCTCGAAATCGGGACCGTAATACCCAGTTGTCTATCGAAATTGGGGAACAGAGGACAGTGTAAGACAGCTGGCAAGAATATTCGCGTTCAACGCTACGGGATACACTATGTCTTCTGAAGTATCACTTGCAGGGATGCAATTGATCTAGGGACATTCTACCTTGCAGCTGATGCTCGAGTCTATTTGGTATCTACGTATGTTAGGCTTGCTTCAATTATGCGAAGATGTATAATTGGAGAAAAAGTTGGAATCATTTTCGAGTCCCAGTAATTTTAATTATAGTACTACTGATAATAATCTTTGTTGCAATAATAGTGATGTCACTAAAAATTTTCCCGAAGTAGTAAAATCCCTAAACTTCTCCCTTCTTCTCTTTTTCTTAATTTTTGGAATCTTTGCTATACTCTGTGATTTCGAATTTACAGTAAATAGATAAAAATTCTAAAACTACCCCTAAAGGTCTCATCGTTTGGGATTTTTGAGCAAGAATGTAACGAAGAGTACGACGAACGCTAAGTCCCAGAAAAATTTCCGAATTTATGCGAGCCAGAGAAGAGCGCAATTTCAGCGCGTGCTATATATCGAGTAAAGATAGGAATAATCGATGTCCCAGGAAATGGCGGTGTAGCCCTCTAGGAATCCTCGGCAAACGCTGTGTAATGGTATCAGATGCACGGATAACGAAGGCGTTACGACGAATCCTGCAAGATGGAGGAGTTTGCTGGCTCGTTAAGATTTCCCATCGCGGGTAGTTTGCAGTTAACTCGCGTCTCTGTGGCTGCCTTTGACAGTCGATGAGGAAGATAATTGAAACGAACATATTCCGCCCTTATGCAAAACCGCTCGTCGTGGGAGGTTTTCGAGAACTTCCTCGATCAATTACCCGATAACGATTCCGCGTTGCGGGGATCGGCGAAAACAACCGGAACAAACTTTTCTCCTCAGCGAGCCGGGCGAATGAGAAAAAGGCATTCAACCCCCGATCTATTTGCATCACGAAAGATTCCATCGCAGTCGTTGGAAGCCACTCTCCGTCAGAGCCCACCCTAGAACCTACCTAGTCCTGTTCGCTGCCTCTGAGGAATACCGTTCGAAACTCCTTCGAGTTGGCTGGAAGAAACCTCGTGTATTATTTCACTGTGTCTTCGCGAGGAACAGAGGTCTCTGTGGTTAACCAGCCCCTGGTTCCACGCGAAAGTTCCATCCAGTGTCATCTAACTTTCAAGCCAACCTCTAGCCTGCACCCCAGCCCTGGTTCCGCGACCAGCCCTTCGATTTCGCTCGTCTTCTCGCAAAACAGGGTGCAGACCGGAGAGAAGAGGCTGGAATAAAACACGATCGCGACGAGACAAAGGAAATCGTCTCATAAATAATTCCCAGGCAGCCTTTGCCAGCCTGGGAAGTGGTCAAAGCGGATTTTTCAGAGCGAGCAACGCGTGGAGGCACAGAACGAAGTTAGCTCGAGGTGGAACGGGATTTCGTACGATCGATTAACCGGCACGTGCTTCCTTTTATTCTCTTCTCTGGCGATTCCTCGCCCTCTGGCGAAATTTCAGCCAGGTTCCCCGGATGATCGTATATACCGTGCGTCTCTCGGCTACCTTCGCTGCCCGCTCTAAAGCTTCCGTTCCTCGTCGTAATTTTCCGTGGAACGGAGGACAGAAAATTGGAGAAAGGAAGAGAAGACACTCACTTTTTCTCCTTTCGTTGTTGCTTCTTCTTCCTGAAGGCCCTCTTCACCCGCAGAAGCAGAAAAGCGGCGCGATCGATGGTCAGGCTAGGTGAAGCCTTGTCGCCGCTCGACATCCTGCGTCCTAGTCCTCCCAACACCTGCACAAATCAGACCAACGGCAATCAGACCGATTTCCTTTTTTTCCCCACTGCTTTATCGGGTTAGACTAGACGGAGAAAAAGAATCGATTTATCGGATCGGCCGTGTCTCGGATAATCTCGCCTTTAATCAAAGAATTTAGGCCATCAGTTTGACCGCGCAGCTGAGTCGAACAGCTAGGAGTTATAAGCTCGTAAAGCAGCCCGAAGTGAAAATTTCTAACAACGTGGCAGAATAGCCATCGCGATAAATCGAACACCCTAACCTGGCTTATTTTTCACCGCCGTTTTCTTTTTCCCTTTCCTTTTTATTCTCCACTCTCCCTGGCCCTGCAATCTCCTTACAGACCACCCTCCATCTTCCCAGCTTTCGCGAATTCGCTACGCCACCTGAATTTTTTACTCCCATATATTTACGCGTTATGGTTTAGGCGCGACAGAATTCATTTTGCGTCTGAAATGTATAAATCAGGCTGTATCCGTTAATTCTACAGAAGCCATTTTGAGAATTTAGGGTTCTCAGGTACGGTTCCCAGTAGCCATTTATTGCAATAGCGAACGAGGTAATATTGTTCTGCTCGGTGATTTATAATTGACGTAGAAATTAAATATTTCTGTTTTCTATTTGTAGTGTAAAAAGTATTGGGAGAGGTTTGATGGGACTTCATAGAAAGCTTCGTGTGCAAAGAGTTAGGATATAGGGAATAAAGCTCGGAGAATAAATATTGTTATTTTAATTAACGAATTACGCGATTAATGTCTCGCGTTTAATCGGGATTTTGTTTCCTCCCCTGTGTCGAGTAAGATTATGTTTATTTACAGGTGCAGATTTTAATTAAACCTCTCCATTTCGATATTTTTCTTCCCCCGCTGATAGGTAAATAAAAGTCGCGTGCGTTAATTGGGAATATTACAGGAAACATTGCCATAAAATGCAAACGTCGGGGAATGAAATATGGTTCCGTGGTGACAGGGGTATAAAACGAGATCGGGAAAACACGGATACAAAGGCACGCGTGTAACTTCGTGACGTTATGGAATTTTCGCGAAAATCCTTCGGAACTTCGCGGGAACCAGTACACTCGTCCATTCATCGTCTGCAAAACGGGAATACCGCGAAAACACCACCCACGTCCGAGCATTGCGTCAATCGAATACGAAATCGACTGCGAGAGGTGCCGGTATTCTCTGCTTTTGTCTTTGGAGGGGGGAGAAAGAAGGGAAGAGGGAAGATTCATTTTCTTCGTTGCCTTAATCCACGACCGTTCATCACGAAGCACCGGCTCGTTTCGTTTGTCTTCTAATCATGGCCGCGCCACGGTTCACAGCTCAGCTGCTTATCACACGAGGCTCCGTTTTATTGAAATCACCCCGGAACACGCCATGCTCGAGCCTTGTACAACCAACCCCTTCATCGACGCGATAGCCTCGAACTTTCCTTCCTTTTTAGCCCTCCAGTTCTCCCGATCCGTTTCTCTCGATCGTTCCAGCCACCCCTAATCGAGTACACCTGCAATCGATACAGACACATCGAGATAACAAAGAGACTGCAGTGTCTCGTGATTTATAGTGACATTGCTAGTGATGATTTTATATCAATTGGATAACGAGATAGATTGGTGGAATGGGATAATTTAAGTATGATAGAGATATCGAAAATTTATAATAAAAGTGAAAAAATTAATAAATTATTGCCTATTACTTGAGCTTATGACATACTTGTGTGAAAATGTACCTATAATTTGCAAAAGGTTTATAAATTATTACACCTATTGTTAATAACAAATTAATATTGTTATTAACAAATTGCTTACATCTTATATTTATAACAGCAATGAAAAAATTAATAAATTATTGACTGTTACTTGAACTTATAACATACTTGTGTGAAAATGTACCTATAATTTGCAGAAAGTTTATAAATTATTATACCCATTGTTAATAACAAATTGCTCGCGACGAAAATTTATAATAAAAGTGAAAAAATTAATAAATTATTGGCTAGTACTAGAATTTATGATGTACTTGTGCGAAAATGTACCTATAATTTGCAAAAAGTTTATAAATAATTACACCTATTGTTAATAACAAATTAATATTGTTATTAACAAATTGCTTACATTGTATATTTACAACAGCAATGAAAAAATTAATAAATTATTGGCTATTACAGCGAAAAAATAGTAATTAATGAAAATTTCTGTCAATGTTGGAAGGAGGAGTTCGAGGCTATATAAAGGGCGACGTGCCGCTGCTCAAGTCATTTGTCGATTCGACCTCGCGAGTGTAACATCTAAATTTTCGTTGTGCGCGAGGGGTGGGGGGTCGAAATGAGGGTGGGGTTGGCTACCCCACCCTCATCCCACCCCGTTAAATAATTTATTGATTATTTTTTTTTTGTTTCCAGGAATTAATTTTTTTTTTCTTTCAGGTTTTAATTATTTTTTCTTTTTAAAGGTATTAATTATTTTTTCCTTTTTCAGACTATTTTTTTGTTTCTACTTATTATTATTTGAATATTTCGTATAATATTCAAATGTTTTATCGTTGGGTTGTTTATGTCTTATCGTTGGTTTATTCATGTCTCATCGTTGGATTGTTTATTCCATTTAGTCGATTATTGTGATTCACATTCGATTCATTTTTATTATGTTTTACTAATCTGTTACTAATCTGTTTCTTTTCAGCTTTTCAGGTTCTTCTAGACATCGCGGGATGCGTGCGTTTAGATCTAAGTAGTTATAAGCAAATAAGATAGATTCCTAGACTAAGGTTCATGTGCGCGCTATCTGTTCAAAGGTAAGCCACCTAACTTGGAGCGAAATATATCAATCCTCTTACCCTCTCGTTTATTTGCAAGAGCGTGCCTGCCTGCCCCTCTAGCACTTGGTGGCTATGTGGTTATGTTTGCATAGAGCCGGGGTATGGAGCATGCGCGTGATTCCGACTGTTAGGCCTCGCATAGGACTCTCGGATTGTCTCTGGGTGTTTCACCGGTTCGTTGGCTGCCTTAGGTCATCGAGTAAGCCATGGCGAGGTCGGCGGTGGCAGGGTGGGCAAGGCCCGATCGGGAGGGTGCTGAGGCCGAAGTTGTCTTGTACATGGGTGTGCGTCTCGTAGACTAGTCGGTCTTTCGAATAATCGCGAACCGAAACCCCTTTTGTAAGACACGAAATTTAATAAAGTGTCTGTAGAGTCACTTAATTTCTTTCGCTCCAAGTTAGATTGGATATCTTTGATACGGATAGCACCAGTAGGTTGCGCCACTAGGGCGCATGTCCGGGTCTCGATGCGTAGCCACCTCCCCGTGGCGAGACCTGGTAATTGTTATGGTTTCCCAAATAATAATTCTTGGGAAACGATACCAAGCAAAGAGCTACGCTTCAATTTTAAGATATTTCCTATCCACCTTAAATTTTCAAACATCCCTTTGAACTTTATCAATGTTCCCAAGTCTCATAACAGAATTGTATTCTTTTTTCCTGTTTTAAACTGTCATAAGTTAGCTCCACTGCACTTGATACTCGAATTACGCGTAGCTACGGCACTGTCGAGGCTAGAGAATAGTATACCCGCTACTGACGATTTCCTCTACCTAATCGAATTAAAAACTAGCCACCGCCTTATCGCACTCAACGATAACAAATCGAAGAAAAACACGCGGGTGGTTCGAAATTTCAATGGAACAAACACCGTTCGAAAAATACAGGTTTTCGGTATGGGAAAAATATTTTTCCAACGGAGAATGCAATTACGCGGTGTCCCGGTCGCCCACCTGGATCAAACTCGTTTCCATTTATGCGTTTCCACGTCAACCGCATTACACGTTCCGCCTGCTTGCTGTTTGTTGTATTTTAATGAAACGTTCAAACGAATTACCTCGCTTATTTCCCTGTTCTGCGACGTTCCACTCACCGAGCCCTTAATTAGCGCGAATTCGTAGCACAGCGAAATATCGCGTCGTCGTCGGATATGAAATGTTATTCCGGCTTCCGAATTAGCATACTGCGCCCGGGATCCAGCTCGATCCGCCATAGTCGGGCGAGAGATCCAGAATATCTCGGAAATCGTCGACTACGCGACAATACCCACATTTCCCAACTTCGTCTTCAAAATTCCGAAACATCGGAATACCCGTGTCACTTTTATGACCCGAAACTCGCATAATCGCGAGCCCGACCGTATAAATTCGAGGCTCGTGGATGACTCGGGGAACTCGGGATCGACGGGCTATGGAGGAACGAAGAGGAAGAGAAATACCATCGATGGCATCGTTTGAAGAGAGATTATCGGAAACGATCCGGACAAACGTCGAAGGAGATAATATTTCAGATGAAACTCGGCCACTTGGCGATTATTCGCAGCTCGGGGCAAATAGCAAAGGCAAAGGGAACGGGCGAACACCGAACAGCTGAGCTAAACTCGCGGAAGCCAAGAGTATCGCGGATAATCGGTGTTATTTCAAACGAACCAAGAGACCAGGTTAATCCCTCGGTCTTCTGCTTATTATTCTCACCAATACACGTCCGATTTTTTTCAATTATCTCGGAATAACAAGCCCTGAAGGCAAACCTAGATTCTCGCTTTATAAACACGAGGCATCGAGAGTCGATGTTGGGACTTTTAATTGAACGTTTCGGGACACCCACGCACGCTTAAAATTTGATTCTGGGAACAAAACAAACGGAATATCATATTTGCCGATCCTGTATACAGGGCGTTCGCGAAATCGTGGCGCAAACGGCACGGGGGGTGATTCCCCGCTTAAAAATGGATCGAAAATATAAGATAAAATTTTTCAAACTGCGACAACTTCGTTCGCGAAGAGAAAATAGGGATGGAAAATTCAGGAATTCATCGTACAAAAATTCGATTGCAACATGGAGGTCGATATTTTGAATTTTTATAAGGTCCTGGAATGAATTAGGTATTACATCGAAACTTGCGGTTATTATTACTATTCGTAAAAATTATATTCCACTAATTTTCTGTAATGTGTG